GTCCATTTCAAAACTACAGCCCTTTAAGAAGAATCTTGTCTGTCATCTGCTGGACACTTTTTGTTGTGCTCATATTTAGGCATCCTATTTTGCAAATGCTGCCTTTTTGAATTTTGGTACGCTTGTTTGTCTTTGTGTCTATGGTGTTTAATGATGTGATTGTAATGCTGTAATCCTGAGTGTTTTATGTGCTGCAGAACAGGAACCTGCTGTAAAACAGCAACTATGCTGAGTCAGGCTTGATTTTTAGTAATCTTTTCCTGTTAAATAAATAAATCAAATCAAATCAAATCAAAAATCTTATTCCCCCCCTCTCAGCTGACACATGTTCCCCTTGAGGAAAAGAGTGGTTTCATTTTGAGTACACTTGACCTGTTCAGAAAATAACCCAAACAAGCAAAYAGGTCATCTATTGCACATACAGTAGATGTTTGATTTTGGACCTGTTACGTGCCTGATTGCTGCTATGTTTTGTAATGGGCAAACTTGCTTTTGCTTTCCTTTTTTCCCCCTTTTTTTATTACCTTTTGTGCCACCTGAGTCACCCAGTGGGAAGTGCAGTTGCTGAGGTCTGGTCCTTTGGAGCACCATGTCCCTGCCACCGTGCAGAGGAAAGTGGCAATGCCTGCAGGACCACAGAAAAACACAGCAGTTGAAGAAAAGCCAAAATTGTGCTCAGATACAGTGTTTCCTGTTATTCACTCATTTATACCATCTCTCCTGTGGAAAAGACTAAATGTTCAGGATGRTTCTCAAATGATCTGAAAGACTAGCAGCTATTTGAATGACTWTTTTAAGAATAAAAGCATGAAAAGTTTCACTAAAAGGCAATTTAGTGCCAACCAATTCACCAAAAAAAGTTAACTCGGGGCATTTTACATTATTAGATGCCAATTATTAGTGATGTTCAATACTGCTGAATTCTTTTCCGATTCTGATACAGAGTAAAACTCAGGCTGGTATCGCTAATAGGGCTGGGTTTAAAAAATCTATTTAATCTATCTGGATCGATTCTCGTTCAAATTTGGGAAAATTGATTCATAAGTCATGAGATCAATTTTTCCCCATGGGTGTTGTGTGCGATGAAGCTGCGCGTTTCCATGCTGTGTGTCACTCCTGGCTTGCTGTGGATTTACAGCCGGTTGACGGTGAGCGCTAACATCAGCTCCCGACAACAAGTTGTCTGGGGCAAAACAAACGAATCTAAGGAATCACTAACATTACAGCTGATTCTCAGCGGAACTTAAAGATAACAGAGGCCATGACAACATTTGTTTGCAAAGTTTTGCACTCTGACGCGGTAGCGAGAAATGAAGCTTCGAGCGGCTCGAACCAAAACTACGGAATGTAAACATCTGACTGAAACTGTTCTCCTGTATAAATTTGTGAAAGATGACAGTCTAACAAATTRGTTTAGTTTTGTTACCAATTTTATTAAAAAATTTTAGAAGCATCTTAATGTAATTCACAGTGATGAAATGTTTTAGCTGAAGTACTCTTTTTTCCTTTCTTCTTGTTAAGTTTGATTGAACAGAAGGTAACAGAAACATTACAAATATACAATTATCATACACTCAAAAGAGTGGGCAGAAGTAAACACTTACATTATCCCACCTCTTCTCCTGTAACCAAATTCCATCACTTCTTAATGATCAAGAAAATTATTCTTAGTTTCTTAAAAAACTAATGTATCCAACAACACTTTCTCTTTTCTATTTCAAAGGGTTTACCCTTTGAAACTTGAGACAGTTTTGTTTCAAGATTAAACTCCAATATACAAGTTTGCCCTTAATGTTTATAATTTTACCAATGCACCAAGTTAGAATTAGTTTCTACTATTTGCAGAATTATTTCCTTTGAGAATGTCTTACATATCAAAGTAAAGTGTTGCATGATATCTTTAACTAATTTAAAAATTAATCAAACTGAATCGTGAATCGTCCTGAATCGTTGTGAATCATTGTGAATCATGACTCAAATTGGGCCCCTGTGAATCGAATCGAATCGATTTGGGAAATCTGAATCAATACGCAGCCCTAATCACTAATACTGATATTATGTGCAAGTCAAATAATGCAACCATTAAATAAATTGTTCAATTATCAAAAACTGGTAGAAAAATGAAAACTTTTGTCTTAATCTATGTTACATAAACATTTAAATATGAAAATACTAAACATGTAACAACTATGGACTGACTGTGTCGCTGTGCTTATCGTTTAAGCAAAGGTACACATGTTCAGGACAAGGCACATTTTCCAGGTGAAAGAAAAAGTAGTTCCTAACAACCATGTARCATTTGGACAAGATTTTAATAGTTWAGTTACTTTCCACAGTGTTACTGATATACATTACTTGAAACAAATGAAGCATCAAAGATATTTTGAATTTAGAATTGATTCTAGAGCATAAAGTTCTGTGTTCTGTATTGTTGGTACCAATATTTCAGTATTGATCCACYCATCYCTARTAATTAGTAAAAAATTATCTATCCAAGTACATCTACAATCTTCCATKTGGAGCAGCACACTGGTGACAGTGGAAAGAAATGAKTCCCTTTTAACATTGACGGTGAGCGCTAACATTAGCTCCCGACAACAAGTTGTCTGGGGCAAAACAAACMAAACTAAGGAATCACTAACAGAAATGACCTCCAGCAAACCAGGCTCAGGATGGGCTGCCATCTCCTCTGACCAGCTGGGGTTCGAGAGGGCAGGAAAGAGACACAGACACAATACACATATTGTGTATACTCCCTTACGACACACACGGTTACATCAACTATAACTCGCTTCTCTGACAGCAATACAGAAATTTTTAGACTTCACTTTTTTACCATGTCAAATTTTCTGTTCTCCTACTCAGCCTTGCTTTATATTTTGACAGCTCTGTCACATTCAGTGATAGGCCGTGARGGTAATTTATGTAAGATTACTGCAGCGGCAGCATAGATCTCAAGTAAATACATCCAATAATTGTGTCCCTAACTGCTGACTTCCTTCACACCCAAGAATTATTATTTTTAACTCTGAATCTTTAATATAATATTAACTGGGGAAAAAGAAAAGCTGTTTCATAAAATAAACTGTCCATCACCTTCATTAGCTTTTTGTTTTTGCTTAGAATGCAAACAGGTAGAGGTATTTGTTTTCCTTCAGCTAATTGTTCACTTTCATTTCAAGGAGAAATGGTTTGGAATTTGCATAAAAAGAACAAGAATGAGGTATTGTAATTTCYCATTTCTGATGGTGGAAGTAAAAGGCTCTAATCACGCCTTCCCATGATTTTAAAACTGACACACTGCTGAGGTAAAAAAAAACAACAAAATGTTATCAACTCTGTGCAGATAAACAAGAATGGAAGCAGCGATAACACGGGCACAAATAGCAATCATTTCAGAACGTCTTGTCAAGCACTTTGGGTCTCGCTTTATGAATATTTGTATGCTAAAAATGTGATTGCCAAGCATGAGTGTTATTGTATAGAATGAGGTCTAATCAAGATGATTCATAACAAAAACAATATAAATTAGCTTGGAAACCTTGTTTTCTTTTTTAGTTATTGGAAAATGTCAGAAATATGGATTTAGATCTATACTGTGGCAGTTTTAAAGGCTGGGGTTTGTGGTGTAGTCTAGTTGCACTGGATTACATCATATTGTGAAATGCACCTAATTGTACTGAATTAAAGTTTTTATTAGTGTTTCATCTTGTGGACCTTTGAGACAAAGCCTTGTAATTTATATTTTACTGCAGTGACATGGATGTACAGTAAACAAAGCTTCAAAAGGAATAATCTAACAGTTGAGTAAAGAAATAAAAAATATATATTTTTGACTTTGATAGAAGAGAAAGCTGACAGCACCAATGTTTGTAGACTAAAACTAATGCTTGGAAAGGGCTGGTATTGTCACTTGAACTAGGCCAAATTGGAAGRAAGCTCATGAAAACAGTATAAAAATACCTAATATACAAATTTCCATTTTTCACGTAGTGGGCTAGCTTTATATTAGAAACAAATGTGCAGTGGTGGGCACCAGCCTGCTAAAGTGCAAATCCACTAAATGCGGACCTAAATACTTCATTTGCGCTTTAGCGGTCTTACTAATTTTTATAATTCATAAGCAGATTTGCGCTTTCTAAAATTAAAATGCAGTACCGCTAATAACTAATTATCTAGCTGTTATCATTATCTTGAACAACAGAAGGTATGGCTGTCAATGAATCACAACACATGTGATCTATCCAACAGCACCACTCCTAGATAAACACACTTATTGAGAAGGTATACATCTTTGCTGACTGTTGCTTTCGGTCAGGGTTCTCATTTCCCACAATGCTTTGTGGCTGCTTACATAGCAGGAAGGCAATAGCAAAAACAGTTAATGTTTGTAATCCATACTAAAATTTTGTATGTATTGATTTATTTTACTTTACAATCTGAGCTCCTTTTTAAAAATAAATAAATAAAAAAGTTTAAATGCTGGAGCTCAATACTTGACGTAATTGGTCAAAGCAATGAGGTTAGAGACTCAGAAATGATTTAAAGATGTTATGCTGGTGAAGACAGTCATCTAGTGGTCAACCGGAGAAACTACATGGAAAACTTTAAAATCCAAGCTCTTATTTTAAGGGAAGATAGTTTCCTGTACTGCGTGCTTTCATTCCCCGTCACAAATCAAATCAGGCCATGTACCCAGAATGCATCACTTCAGTTTTCCAATAAACAGTTTTAAAATTACTTTATTGATGCTTCTTTAATGAAAAATCTACAACAAACAAAAGAAAAAGACAAAGAAGCAGCCGAACTAGCAATCCTCAACAACTTTTTAATTTTTACACCAGGAGCTAAAGGTCTGTTTCAGGAAATCACATCCCCAGCAATCAGCGGTTGTAGAATTAAGCTGTATAAGGGTTCATACACCGCTAGTTGGCAGTGTTGTGCATATACTGTACATGAATTGTTGCCGGCTAGTAAGTATTAAACTGAACTTGCACTTTAAAATGAGCTTCCACTTGTTTTTCTATGGCATAAGCAATTTTGAAGTTGCGGACCTAAATATTTTCATAAGCACTTTAGAAATTGCGGAGCTAATTTTTGGATTAGCGCTGCCCACTACTGCAAATATGACTCGAATTCTAAAAGCCCAAACACTTTTTCATTCACAGCTAGACAAACATGTCTTACCTCTGGTTCCTTTGGGGCAGGGTCTGTCGACAGTGGTTCCGGTGTGTGTCTGAGGCCAGTCGATGGCTCTCCTCCTGGTGGCCTCGCAGGAGCGTCTGGGTGTCGGCGGCAGCTCAGGGACAGTGGGTTCAGCCGTTACTGAGCCGTGGCTGTCCTCAAAAGGATTCCTTCCCTCTCTTGGATCYGCCCCTGCTATTGTTGTGTCACCATGGCCCCTCATGGTGGGCACTGTGGTGGTGGTAAACACCGTGGTAGACTTAGGTATGGATGATGAGATTGGGGCATCCTCAATCGTTGGAACTAGAGCAAAAAGAACAGTAAAGCTGTTAGAGCTCAAGTCACAAATGTCTCCAAGTCCTGATGCTATTATCAGTGGAGAGACTGCAACAGTTTCAATCCTTAGACATGTTGGCCTCTGCAGAGATACTGATGCCTAAAACGCCTAAAAATAAAAGGATCACGGAGGTTTAACTTCACCTCTGCTCTGCTCTCTCACAAAAAGAAATCAAGACAAACCTTCCAATGTGACACTATCTTGCACTATTTCCATTTTACTTAAGCCAATAAGTAAGACAAGCAATAGCAGCGGGGCAATCTTTCACACAGCAGTGATTTCTTTTAAACAGACTCAGTATTGGGTTGATTAAATGTCAACAATAAAGACAAAGCCCATCTGCGTTTTACCTTTTCCTCTGCCTTGTTCATCTCTTTCTCTTTGATAAAGCTGGTGTGCGGAAGGAGGACTGCACTGCCACGAGCGAAAAACTATACATCAGCAATAATGTGTTTCCACCGGATTCAGTTCACGCCTACCAAGCGAGTGCAATGTGTGCGACTGCACATGTGCACGCGTGCGAGCACACTCGTGTTTGCTCCATTTCTCAGGTGTGTCCCTGCTTAAAATCTCTGCCCGCACARAGATTGATATCTGCTGCAGAGTGCCTGGAGATAACTGGGAAATGAGAGCAGAAATGGGAAATCTATAAATTTAATACAGTATGAAGAGCCAATAAGGATAAAATAGAAAACACGGTGACTGTTTGTGTGCATGTGTGCCAGCATGGATCTCCAAGGCTTCTTGTCTGCTGCATGAATGGCCATACATTTTTAACCACAACTGCCTGATTGTATTTTGAGATAAAAGCACCTTCCCACAATGAGGTCTGTCCACATAAAAGGCTCTCTAGTCTTCATGTTCCCTGGGTGCTTTTGGAAAATGCAATATCATGCTATCTGACACTCCATCATCAGACACCTATCTCCATTTCCTGAGAGAGAATGGTGACAGAGCCGACATTTCTCTTTTCACACCAATCAGAGGGTCAGGGGGATCTTTGCTTTTTCATTCAGGTAAAATATTTGAGCTTATTACAAAGCTGATATCTTTGATGAGGCCAAGAGGCCACCGCAGTAGGGGGGAAGCAGTGTTTCTGTGACGTTCACTACAAAGGAAAGGAGAAACGCTACAGTGTGGCTGAATTGTGACATGTCGCACATTGACCTTTTTCCCCCTGACAGGAGCCCRGGCCAATTGCCTCACACTTATTCAGTCATTGTGTCCTCACATARATTCAAAGGCAAGCCTGGCCAAAATGGCTGCACGCCTAATGATGTGCTGATAAAATGTTTTACATGGCTAACATTAGGGGTGTAGGTTATTAACAAAGCTGCATTTTTCTAATTGGTTGGTTTAAAGCTTGAGCAGTGATTGGGTATTCTGACACTTAAAWTTTTTTTCTCTCCTCCTGATCAGAATCAATCACAGTCCTTGAACACACAATTCTTTACCATATGCATGTTATTACTGCAAGTTTCCACCATGTGAAGTAGACTAATTGTAAATTATCTAAGGTGTATATTAAAAATGATTTGTGGAGATTCTCAGCCATCCGGGGCYCAACAGATTCTGAGAGTTTTGAAACAAGAAAACTGGATTTATTTTCTGCTACTTGAAGGTGTTTCGCTTCCCACTCGAGCTTTTTCCATTTCAATTGAAAAGTGCAGAMATCCAAGTGCAAAGTCAGAAGAAGCACAAGAGGCTACTAGAAGAAAACTGGATTTTATACAGAGATAAAACTGCAGCTCACTTTACAGTTCAGGCTGTTGTTTTCCTTTACACTCCAGTACCAGCTGCTGCTTAAAATGGTGACATATTCAAGTCCAGCTTTCTGTGTGAGACTTAGAATTCGTAAACAGGGGACAGACTTAAACAAAAAGTGAACATTAAATTGTTGAGAATATTAACATTTTAACAAATTAATAWTTTACACAAATCATATGGAAGCCTGGTTTAAAATTCTAACTGAGGGATTCACAAAACCTGGAAATTGTAATCAGCAAAGAACACATTGATTGGTGAATCTCCAGTTATTAACTACACAATAAAAAACACATATTTTAAAAAAGTCTATAGATGTTAACAATATAACAAGGATGCATATAAGATTGAACAAAAAGTTCCAAATATATTATGTAAGGCAGTTTTTTTTTCCCCGAGTCTGAAAAAGTGTGAAGATTCACAGGCTGACTTGGTAGATTCAATAGACACATATAATGCAATACAAGGGCACATGTAATTGAATTTCAGAATATTAAACCTCTCTATACCTGAGCAAACTTCTGCTTTTCTATGGGCTGATATAAAACTTAATATGCAGCTGTCTGTAACAGCTTGCTTGCATCTCCTGATTAACCTGCTCTTGAGACCATTTTTCTCCATCTCAAGGCTCTGAAGCATCGCACGTCTCAGCGCAAATTATTACAACGTGCAAATAGTCTGCTTTTCAATGTTTCTTTGTAATCTTAATAGACGAGAACGAATTCAAAATCTCCCTTATCTTTAGTGAGTCAGTTAATTTAGACGTGCTACAAATGCACATTGTAATGAGTTCAAACTTGAGTCGTTACTGGGTATCAATTTTAATTAGGAGTGCTCAAGGAAACTAATGATAATGTATGTCAAATACACATTTAAAGCAACATAAACCCTTAGAATAGTGTATTTGTAACATTAAACTTAGTTGAATATTATACTTATTTATAATAAAAACCCCTAAAAAAAAACTTTCAAAATATGCTTTACATTAATTTCTCTAAACATGTTTCTCATATGTGCAGAGACTGTTGGGCAGCTTCACAGCTAAATAAAGACATTTAAATTAAAACTAACATTCACCTGTAAATAATTTTTTAAAACTTCATGATTCAGATAAGCTGAAAGACAATAAAAAAAATTGTTGTCCGAACAGCCAAATTAACCCTCTTAACGCAGTCCCTGAAAATTTATTTTGTAAATTAGCTTCAAAGCGCTTCCAAGGTCAAACTGGGTTTTCTTCCAAGCTTTAAACAGTTGAAGTGATTTCAGTTTATTTCAGCTATTTTAGTACTTAAAAAGATTTTCTCTGTGAACTGTGAGGATCTTTCATGGAAAAAAAAATAATTAACATACTCAACGGATCTAATCATAGCAACACCATCTAACCAAAGGAGATGAGCCGGAGTTTGAGGGTTATTTAGTTGGTTTTATTCCTTTTTTTT